TCTTATTCTGTGTGGATGCTCAGGGGCTACACTTAAATCGAAGACAATAAACTTTTGTTCGCATAAATGCTTATTAACAATTTTATAAATACTGCGCCAATCGTTAACATATAAACGGAGTATTCTACTTAGCTCCTCTGAAGAATAACTCCTATTGAAGAGTACAATGTATTTTAAATTTTTTCTTATTAGTATTGGGCAGTCAAAATAACTTTGTGATATGTATATCGAAGAAACGTTGGAATGGCGTCCCTTGGCAAAATAAGGTATAATCTTTTCTTGAATTTTCTTTGGTTCGGTACATACATCCTCGAATATAGCTATTGTACCTCTTTCTGGTGAGAATGAATCTAGATTTGGGATTTTATCTGGCTTTATAGCCCGAAATGTAATATCTTTACGATATAGTTCAAGACTATTTGCAATTATCTAAAATGTCAATTTAAGAAACATATATTTCGGCTCTTTGAGATAATGGCCAATAAGCACAACATTATCACACTTAATATATCTAGTGCCCCTTTTTTACCATTAAACATTCTATATAGTTTATTTCTGACCAAAAGGTGAACAACTTCAGTAGATTTTTCTGTATTGGTCCGTCCTGCGAATAAGATTGTAAAGGGCCATTGAGGGCATGAGTTTTTCGAGTTATATTTTTCTGGAGACTTATATTCATCTATATTGAGTTCAAAGGTCTCAATCGGTTCAAGTTTTTCTACTTTCATCTCAATTACGCTAAGACACTAATTATTATACCTGAAAAATAATGATCTTTATTGTTATATATACATACTCACTTGATTTTTTAAACCACCAGCAAATTCAACTCTTTTCCATAATATAGGAGCAGAACAAAAATATCACAGCTGGTTAACGAATAAGGTCAGATATAATGCTTTGTCTTTGACTAAATATAAGAAAATATCAGTTAATATTTCTGGCAAAACAAGTAGAAGTAGACACGGAGTGTCATTTCTCCAAAATAATTTATTATATGGCATTGTTACTTATCTTTATAGATCCATTTATTATATAAAAAGAAAATTATATCAAATGTATTGGTAAAATTAACTCGTCTAAGAATCAGAAGTCAGTAAACACCCCTTTTTCTACAATGTATGCTTGATATAAGGAAATAAATCAGCAGAGTATGGTATTTCAATAAGATCTATATTTTCTCGCTTGCATATTTCCCGTTTTTTTTGATCCTGTTTTCTTTGTTTATCTAGATCGTCTCGATTTTTGTAATATAAACTATTCTGATTATAGTGTTGAACACCATTATATTCCCATGCCAATTTTAGCTCCTCATTATATCCATCAAGTCATAATTTTTTCAAAAATGAAGCTGAACATGGTGGAAATTCCTTACTCAACAGATCTTCAAAAATATATCTACAACTTCTTTCACAGGTATGTGGACAAAGTGGGTACCATTTGAATTTACACTCTAGTACTTTTAATGGATACTCAAACTGATGCTTTCCATTTTCACAGGACCAGAGGTATATATCGAAATCATTTATACGACCAGTTTTACCAAGACATTTTCTGCCACACTTCTTGGCATATTGTTCTGCTTTAGCCATTTTATTAATAGCATGAATGAAATTAACAGATCTGGAGTGGACATTTTCTTCTAATATACTCTACGGCGGGTACTCGATTTTTTTTGGAAATACCTGCATGAGCTCCTCTCTCACGAACCTCCGCTTTGGTGTAAACTCATCACCTTCTAAGTAATATAAAATAGGTTCATTCTTCGTTACCACGATTTTTCAGATTTTATAGATAGAAGACAAAAATATTAAATTGGTGGCCTTTTTTTGCTCTAAGCCAGGAGACTCTTTCCACTCTCCATAGGCTAACAAATAACAGACTGTATCACCCTTTTTCAACTTATTCTCTTCATATTTTCCAACAGGACGTTTATATTTTGTAAATGATCTAGATTCTATCTTTTCTAACTTGATGGCCTTCTTAGGAGCTAAACCCCACTTTGAAGAACCTGAAACTCGAATGAAACGCGTCAGATAATTATTTAGGTAATCGATAACTTCTGATAAATACTTAACCCACTCTCTTATTAATTTAGGGTTGGAAGTTATACTTTTGACAGCATATTGAATCTTGTAAAGCATCTCTGCTAGAGTTTTATTAAATCTTTCAATGAGAGCGAGCTCCCGATGAGAATACGTACCAATCACTCAAATTGTTACATTATGTTCCTACATTATTTTTGAAATTTCGCCCATGAATTCTTTACCACCATCAATGGTTAGCAATTTAGGCCAGGTTAATGGATTTGATGAACTATTATAAATTTTCTTGAACACTTTAGTAACTTCAGAGCTTTTCTTCGACATTAGAGGAACTGAAGCCTTATATCTTGACGCACAATTCACTATATTTAGCACTACTTTGTATATCTTTTGCTTATAACAATCATGGATAAGAAAGAGTATATCAGCTTTGTGTACACAATTCGGATGTGAAATTTTGCCATAATTAACCCGTGAAATATATTTAGGAGCCGGTGCATATTTTTGCCACTCACTTTGATTTATGAGCCATTTTTTAACTGCAGAGAGCTTAAATGTATGCCCCTTTTTCCAACATACATCTCTTAACGTTTTTGCATTGGAGAAATAACCAGTAGGTTGATAAAAAATTTTACGTAAAATTATATGCTGATCAAGCTCATCAGCTCTTGACGAATCTACTCAAATTTGTGGTTCTACCATTTCTATTTAGAACTATGACATAATAATAAAAATGGCTCGACTAAAGTATTCTTTAAAATCTGCACAGGATTTGGCTGAAGAACGTGGAGGTAAGTGTTTGTCCGATAATTTTATAAATGTTCGTGAGCCCTTACGTTGGAGCTGTGCTAAAGGTCACTAGTGGAAAAGCCAGTTCTATACTATAAAACACGGCTCATAGTGTTTACAATGTTCTTGGGATGATCGAAAGGTTGGTTTGCAAGTTGCTAAGAAAATAGCAAATGATAAGGGTGGGGAATGTTTGTCTGATCAATATATTAACAGTAACTCTCCCTTAATTTGGAGTTACCAATTGCATCACGAATTCACTGCGCCCCTACGATATGTGAAGAATATGGGTCGTTGGTGTAAAATATGTTTCAAAAAGAACAAAATAATATTGACATTACAAGATCAGAAGAATTAAGATATGAGCCTTTTAATCTTTTAACAGTAATAAAAATTGCACAATCTCAAAGAAAAAGATGCCTTTCAAGCTCGTATAATAATCGCAAAACCCCACTCATCTGGAAGTGTTCTGAAAGGCATAGATGAACTAGTTCACTTGCTAATGTCAAAATTTCAGGTACATGGTATAAGTGATGTATTTCAATAAAACAATCTTGTGGTTTTGATGTTGCTATGAAAATTGCATATGATAAGGATGGCCAATGTCTTTCTGATAAATATGTCAATAAAGAAATCTCATTGCTATGGAGTTGTAGCAATAATCATTCATGATATACCACTTTAGGAAGTGTGAAAAATAATAATACTTGGTGTCCACAATATACAAAATGTGGATTTAAACTAAGTCTTGACGAGATGCAAAAAATTGCGCATGAGAAAGGTGGTAAATGTCTTTCCAAATATTATACCAGATCTTTAGATCAATATTATTGGAAATGCGCAAAAGGCCACATATGGATCGCATCATTTACTAGTATAAGAATTACTGATAGCTGGTGCCCTACTTGTTGTGGGTTTTATCACACCATTGATAACATGAGAAAAGTTGCATTAGAAAGAGGCGAAGCGTGTCTTTCAGATCAATATCATAATACAGATACAAAACTTCTTTGGATTTGTGCAAAATCTCACACATGGGAGGCAACGCCACATGTAATTTTAGGAGGAACCTGGTGTCCATTTTGTCCTTGGAAAAGACAAGATCTATGTCAAAAAAATATTCATAAATTTATTGAGTTCACCACCATCTATTATTCATAGATCCAATTTCTTAAAAACTACTGAACATCCATATAGATTAGAACTTGATATTTATTATCCACAATATAGTTTTGCAATAGAAGTGCAAGGTATACAGCATAAAAAATATCACGAATTCTTCTATAGGGGTGATCCAAAAAATTTTGAGAAACAGTTAGAACGGAATTAGTTTAAAAAAATCCTTTGTGATGAAAATGACATATATCTCTTTTATATCTGGTACAATGATAAAGATCCAGAAAAGACTATTCGAGACGAATTATTTGTACTAGGTCTACTTAATTAAATCATTTATGGATCTTATTATTAATATTTCATAATTCAATAGCAATTGTACATTCTTTTTTTATAATTTGCAATTTCTCATTAGGGTTAATATATATGGTAACTTGGCTCATTTCGATGTATTTTACTATAACGAAAAATTTTAGCACTTTCTTGGTAAACAATGTGATTGATGTATATATACTACATTCCAATGGATAATTTTGTTGTGACAATTATACCTGCCATCCAAATTCAAAATCCAAATGCCAAAATTCCAAATGCCAAAATCCCAAATCCCAAATTTCAAATTATAATTAGTATTTTTTGCCGAAATCCCAAATCCCAAATATTAGTAATTTGGGATTTTGGCATTCCAAATCTCAAATAATTTGGGATTTGGATAACACGTATAGTGACAATTAAGAAATTACGCATACAGATCCAGAAAAATGAGGATTATATTGCTTACCTGGAGAAAGAGCTTACTACAAGAGATGATGAGATCGATATTTTGAGGGTACAGGTAAATGATCTCAAAATAAGACTTCGGAAAACAGAGGCAAATATCCAATCCAAAGAGAGAAATCTATCTGCTGTCAAACTTTAGTTATAAGATATGAGCAGTGAATTATTCTCCCTTCAACATAGAATTCAAAAACTTCGGGAAACAATGACATTGGACATGGCACACCTACCATTCACAAATACATCAGTTTTCAACTTAATAACAGATGTGAGAACAAATATCAAGCTTTTAGGTGATTCAACTAGGGGTGATAATACTTTTTTAAGAGATGAAATTGATAATCTTCAGACTCAAACAGAATTAAAATTAACGCAAATCCAGAATGTGTGCTATACTTTTGAAAACGAAGTAACTCAGCTAAGACAAGAAGTTATAAATCTAAAGGATATAAACCTCAATCAACAAGAGTTAACCAATAAGCTAGGTACATTAAATGAAATACTCAAAGAACAAATAGATGAGTTATCCGAAAAAAATGAGACCATCTAAACTGAATTAGATGAGAAAACAAGATTATATGGGCAAGTTCAAGACCAGCTGGATGAATGTCGAGAGGAATGCTATCAAATAAGAGAATCTTTGGAAGGGGGGCATGAAGATATTTCAGAAGGTGAGTTTGCATATGACGAGTTAAAACAGAAATTGCGCATCTTAGGATTAATCCATATCACATGGCAAGCCTGCAATCTAAGGCAGGCTCAAATTTTAAATGTGGAATTTAATACATCAAGAATCGCTTGGAGAAATCAAAGAGATAGAAATTGGCATATTGCTCAAAAATTGCAAAATTGTCAGGAGCATAGCAGGAATTTACAAAATGATAAGGTTTTTATTGAGTTTTGGTATAAGCGAATTATCCTCAGGTATGAGAAGTGGAAAAATAAGACCAAAAATAAATGCCAAATAATTAATAATTTGAATCAGCAAATTTTAGTGCTTCAGAATAATTTACCTATAAATAATTAAATGAATATGACATTACAACCATTACTATTGCCAAATTTTTCAGGTGACCATGATGAGGACATTGATATTTTCTGTAGTCAACTATCATCATATTTCGCAGGTGTTGCTATAGATCCACTTACTAATCGGGATCAAGCATTTGGCATTTTTAGAGGATGCTTATCTGGACGGGCATTAGATTGGTTTGATCAAAAAATTCTTGGTAAACATTGGGAAGTTCATAATATTCTTGCAAGTCACGGACAAGCTGATATGGCTGCTCTTCGAGGTCGAACTATAGCACAAATGGTTACTAGTAATAGTTTTAGAAATCCTTCAATAACTCATGACTATGCAAATGTCGGTGGAAATAATACAGTAACGGTAGGAGATTCAATGATTCCAGCAGAAGCTTTTACTGAAGATTGGTGACTAGCTGGAGGTCGGCCGTCAGATAAACCTGTTAATGGTATTAATGCAAGTAATAATAACTCTATAGTATTTGCTGATATCTGAATCGGTCAAGTATTATATTGGTTTAAAAATGAGTATCCTACTGTACTTAGCGAAAAACGCAATCTAGTGTTTGGGTCACTAGCTCAAGGGGGCAAACCTATAGGTGATTTTTATAGAAAGCTTATCAAATACGGAAAATGCTTTACCTTGATGACAAATCAATCAAAGGCCAATTTCTACGAGGGTTGTCTCCAGATTTGGAAGAAGACGCGAAACGTATTGGTACTGAACAGCCATTATCTGATTTTTTTGAAACCCTAGAGAGAATTGAAATGCGAAGAGCAGAGAAAAAATTAGGATTGGTTATCAAGATACCCCAATCTAGTTATAAATCACCATCTAAATCTCATGGAAAAGACAATTACTCAAATAATACAAGTATGAGTAAAGACGAAATGGAAAACTTTATAAAATTCATAATGGCGTCTTCTCAATCTCAACTTGTTTCTACAAATCTAGCTCCTCAACTACGGAGTGAAGAATTAGTACGACCCAGTCAAATGGAATCAGGTAAAATATATAGTGATTCAAATTTACGTTTGAATGATCAAGAATAGTTCAGAATGAGTAACGCATTGGATCGTCTTAGTGCCACAGCAAGTCCATCATTTTACAATCATTTATAGATACAATTACTAAAGGGGTAGTTGATAAATTCTCTTCCTTATTGCCTAAGAAAAGCAATGGAAAAGGATCAAAAAAATATGAAGTCAACTCAGATGAAGATTTACTGATCGTATGAATAAGTTGTCAATAAATAAGGCTATAACTAGACAGGTTAAGAAGGAGGTCAAGAAATCGTCCCAACACAGGTGCTCAGGATGCCATAGAACTGGTCATCGATCAAATTCTTCTAAATGTCCAAAAAATAAAAAGAAGAGCAGGTCTAAGAAGAAAGGTAATGTTAATAAAGTTACCCTAGATTCAGGTTCAGATACTAACAATTCTTCCAGTAGCGATTCTGGATCTGATTCTGAGACAGGCTCTGATGCCGAGAATACCTCCTCCGAATCTAATTCTGAGAATAACTTTACCGAGGATGACGTTGTGAAAATTATCAATGCTGTCAATGCCGCTAAATCAAAAAAAAAGTAAAGCGGAAGGGTAAATCGTCCTCTAAGAAAATGCCCAAATCCCGCAAATTGAAATAGAAAGATATCTCCACTTCTGATAAGTCCCGAAATAAATTGACTATCCTTGAGCAGAGTATTTAACGAATTTTATTGGATATGCTTGAGAAGGCTTTACCTGCGTATTGGTTAGAGAAACTGAAATTTGAAATTAAAAATCCATCTAACTCGACACCAACAACCCAGGTATCAGACTCCAAGAAGTATAGAGATCCAGTTTCAGACATATCCGATAAGGCAGAACCTCGAATCTTTGATTCTTCAGATGGGGAGGAAGAAACTCTAGACGATCCTATGGAGATTGACTTTGTTAAAAGAAAGGAACCTGCCACAAGCCTTGCAACTATACCATGTAAAATCAAACGTTTAAAAATTCTAGCATTGGTACTCGATAGTAGTGCTGAGCCACCAATTACATCAGAAGACATTGTTAAACGTGTAAATTGGCCAATCGATAAATCAGAAAAATATGATCTTAGCGGTGTTGCTACAGTTCCAACAGAATCAAACGGCATTGCTCGTAATTTCCCAATAACATTCCCTTCGGATTTTACTATATGTGAAGATTTTGTTGTTATACGTGTCCCTAAATCAACATTGATATTTCCAAATCCACTTCTCAAAAAATATAAATGTGCTATAGATTGGGTAAAGATGAATTAAAAATCCCTTTTAATAGAAAAGATCACATCATCCCGATAAATATGATCAAGGTTAAGAACAAGCTCGAAGTAAATTGCGCTACTGCAACTCGAGATGATAAGTCTTCGACATCGGATCAAATTTCACAGGAAATAGACGGGGATGAGGACGATAATGTATCATTTGAGGAATGGAATGTCCCTGAAGGTTTTAGCTTAGATTCTGATAATCCGATGTTAAAAAAAAATACGTTATTACTAGTCGACCTTTTGGGCTAATTTTATTTTCCAAAAGGCAATTTACAACTAGCAACTTGTAAACAGTTACTTTA